TGCATTTAATGATGCAGATCAAATTTGGATACTTTAATATTTCATAATTATACTAATACTGTATATTTATTATATTTATTAACAGTATTAATAGATTAACATTAAAAATAACTACATACTTAGTTATACTACCTAAAATGTCAAATGGCATAAAATAAGGAGAAAAACCATTTCAGCTAATTTCCCAGTGCCTACTGAAATAAAATAACCTAGGCTTGATAAATAGTACTGAGTCTTCTGAAACTTGTCTGCTGAAATTCTAATTATTTTTTTTAAAAGGATTTTTAATCTAAGCCAATTAAAATGGCTATATGGGTACATATACAAAACCCTACAATTTTGCATATGTGACATTTCCCATAAATGACTACAAAATATCACAAATGCCACTGTAAGGCTGCTTTCTAATTTCTTACTAGAATTATACATAAATTTATGTAAAGTGTCTAATTGGAAGTATGACATACAGTGGGGCAAAAAAGTATTTAGTCAGCCACCAATTGTGCAAGTTAAGTTCTCCCACTTAAAAAGATGAGAGAGGCCTGTAATTGACATCATAGGTAGACTTCAACTATGAAAGACAAAATGAGAAAACAAATCCAGACAATCACATTGTCTGATTTGAAAAGAATTTATTTGCAAATTTTGGTGGAAAATAAGTATTTGGTCACCTACAAACAAGCAAGATTTCTGGCTCTCACAGACCTGTAACTTCTTCTTTAAGAGGCTCCTCTGTCCTCCACTCATTACCTGTATTAATGGCACCTTTTGAACTTGTTATCAGTATAAAAGATACCTATCCACAACCTCAAACAGTCACACTCCAAACTCCACTATGGTGAAGACCAAAGAGCTGTCGAAGGACACCAGAAATAAAATTGTAGACCTGCACCAGGCTGGGAAGACTGAATCTGCAATAGGTAAGCAGCTTGGTGTAAAGAAATCAACTCTGGGAGCAATAATTAGAAAATGGAAGACATACAAGACCACTGATAATCTCCATCGATCTGGGGCTCCATGCAAGATCTCACCTCGTGGGGTCAAAATGATCACAAGAATGGTGAGCAAAAATCCAAGAACCACATGGGGGGACCTAGTGAATGACCTGCAGAGAGCTGGGACCAATGTAACAAAGGCTTCCATCAGTAACACTATGCCGCCAGGGACTCAGATCCTGCAGTGCCAGACGTGTCCCCCTGCTTAAGCCAGTACATGCCAGTCTGAAGTTTGCTAGAGAGCATTTGGATGATCCAGAAGAGGATTGGGAGAATGTCATATGGTCAGATGAAACCAAAGTAGAACTGTGGTAGAAACACAACTCCTCGTGTTTGGAGGAGAGAGAATGCTGAGTTGCATCCAAAGAACACCATACCTACTGTGAAGCATGGGGGTGGCAACATCATGCTTTGGGGCTGTTTCTCTGCAAAGGGACCAGGACAACTGATCCGTGTACAGGAGAGAATGAATGGGGCCATGTATCGTGAGATTTTGAGTGCAAACCTCCTTCCATCAACAAGGGCATTGAAGATGAAACGTGGCTGGGTCTTTCAGCATGACAATGATCCCACCGCCCGAGCAACGAAGGAGTGGCTTCATAAGAAGCATTTCAAGGCCTAGCCAGTCTCCAGATCTCAACCCCATAGAAAACCTTTGGAGGGAGTTGAAAGTCCGTGTTGCTCAGCGACAGTCCCAAAACATCACTGCTCTAGAAGAGATCTGCATGGAGTAATGGGCCAACATACCAGCAACAGTGTGTGCCAACCTTGTGAAGACTTACAGAAAACGTTTGACCTCTGTCATTGCCGACAAAGGATATATAACAAAGTATTGGGATGAACTTTTGATATTGACCAAATACTTATTTTCCACCATAATCTGCAAATAAATTCTTTCCAAATCAGACAGTGTGATTGTCTGGATTTGTTTTCTCATTTTGTCTCTCATAGTTGAGGTCTACCTATGATGACAATTACAGGCCTCTCTCATCTTTTTAAGTGGGAGAACTTGCACAATTGGTGGCTGACTAAATACTTTTTTGCCCCACTGTATATTCAGGCCATTAGCCCTAGCTTATTTACAATATACAATCAAGCAGATCTTCCTTTTTATGTTCATAAAAGCTTTTCACATCAAATATTACAACATCATATAAGGAGATACATGAGAAATGGAAATGTATAAATACAATATATATGTCAAATGAAAACAGCGTTCTTAAATTACAGCACCACTTTTTAGGTATTAATGCCACATATTGGCACAAACAACCTTCTTGCAAAATTCTTACATTCTTACGTTAATACTGTATTTCATAAATGAATTCTAAATGTGCAGAGTGGTCATTGCTATAGTTCAAGGAAGAATGAATGCACATAGTCATGGGTGATTATTTCCTTAGAATGTACTTTCTTATTTCGGCCTGTTCTTACCTCAGCATACTAGTCACTTTGTATATGTTGCTATAATTAGGTAATATCTATAACAATTTTAAATGTAACTTAAAAGCTTTTAAAATAAAATGCACAATGTGGGATGCTTATTTTGTAAAAAAAAAAAAAACTTGCATAGCGTAAAGCAGGAAAAATATTTTTTAAAAAAACTGAATTCCTTTTTTAAGCTTGCTGATGCTGGATAGCTCAACAAAACTAACACTTTTCATTCTGTATCAAGGGTCTTCTAATTGCTAGGACAGAATACATATACATACATACATATTCTTCCCGATGCAAAGGAGCATGAGAAGAAATTATTCTTTGCTTTAAGGGTTGCATAGTGACTGAATTTTGAGGAAAACTGGATTATAACAACATTGTGAAGATGACAACAGATTTAGGATATTTTCCATATCTGATAAGAATCCCCATGTTTCTCTAGCACTTTTCAAGGCAAGCTATTTTTTTTTAATTTTATTTATTATTCATATTTCTATGCTGCCCACTCTCCGAGGCTCTGGGCGGCTTACACCAAAGACAGTATACTAAATAGCATATTGCCCCCAACAATCTGGGTCCTCATTTTACACACCTCGGAAGGATGGAAGGCTGAGTCAACCTTGAGCCAGTGAGATTTGATCCGCTGATTTGCTGAACTAGCAGTCAGCTCAAGTAGCTGCAGTACTGCACTCTAACCACTGCGCAACCTCGGCTTTTTATTGTGTTGCAAATGGAATGGGGGCAGATTGCAGCTAAGATGGCTTGTTTGTAATAGATATATGATTTGAATCATGTTTTCTAATTATTTTAATTCATTTCTCTTAGGTATGTGATTTTAAAACAACTTTTAGGCCTTCCGTGATAGAAATTTGAAAAAATTACAGTGGAGATCATCAGACAAAATATTGTTTTATTACAAAAGAATGATGGACAATAAAAGTATCTGCACACATCTTCAGCTTTGTGCATTTTTAAAGGCAGCTCAATACAGCAGAGGCCCATAGATGATAGAATGAACTACAGAAATAATCATTAAAAAAGTCCCAACTTCACAGAGCCATTTCTGCATAGCTTGATTAATTCCATTTCTAGAAGCTCAATTGTTTCTTTTTTTATCTGAAAAAAAAATATTTACCAGCATTACAATTAATGCAGGGGGGCAGAGGTCGACCCTGAGGCGCCTTGTTTGTGGGGTGCCGCAGGGGTCGGTCCTCTCGCCCCTTCTGTTCAACATTTATGTGAAGCCGCTGGGTGAGATCATCCGTGGCTTTGGGGTGGAGTTCCATCAGTACGCTGATGATACTCAGCTGTACATCTCCACCCCAGGCCATCCCAACGATGCCCTTGAAGTGATGTCCCAGTGCCTGGAGGCCATGCGGATCTGGATGGGGAGTAACAGGCTTCGACTCAACCCTTCCAAGACCGACTGGCTGTGGCTTCCAGCGTCCCGATATAGCCAGCTGGTGCCATCGCTGGCTATTGGGGGCGAGTTATTGGCCCCCACGGACAGGGCTTGCAACTCGGGCGTCCTCTTGGATGCATGGCTGTCTTTAGAAGAGCATATGACGGCCGTGGCCGAGGGGCTTTTTATCAGGTTCGCCTGATTCGCCAGTTGTGTCCCTTTCTGGATCGGGACTCCTTATGCACAGTCACTCAGGCACTCGTCACTTTCCGCCTGGACTACTGTAATGCTCTCTACATGGGGCTCCCCTTGAGGAGCGCCCGGAGGCTCCAACTGGTGCAGAATGCGGCCACATGGGGGATTATAGGAGCAAGGGGGTGCTCCCATGTAACACTTCTCCTGCGTGAGCTGCATTGACTTCCAGTGGTCTTCCGGGTGCGCTTCAAGGTGTTGGTTACCACCTTTAAAGCGCTCCATGGCATAGGACCTGGGTATTTGCGGGACCGCCTTCTGCCGCCGATAGCCTCCCACCGACCAGTACGCTCCCATAGAGAGGGACTCCTCAGGGTGCCGTCAGCCAGGCAATGTCGGCTGGCGACCCCCAGGGGGAGGGCCTTCTCTGTGGCAGCTCCTGCCCTCTGGAACGATTTGCCCCCAGAAATACTAAGGATATCGGATCTCTGGGCCTTTCGCCGTGCCCTAAAAACTTTTCTTTTCCATCAAGCAGGGCTGGCGTGAAGCCCCCTCCCTTTTTTTTTTAGCTTTTTAAATTGTCAATGGGTTTTAGTTTGAATGTTTTAAATTTTGGGCCAAAGTCATGTAATTCTTTTAAAAATTTTAAATTTTGTATTGGTATGTGTTTTAGTTCTGGCTGTGCACCGTCCTCAGTCCACTAGGAGAAGGGCGGTATACAAATTGAATAAAATAAATAACTAAATAACTAAATAAAATAAATAATGCACTTTTTTTTTTAGAAATTTAAGCATACAGAGCTAAAAACTTGCAGTTCTATTTTAATATTTGCATAATAGCCCCTATAAACATTTAGATATCAAGTACTAAGCGTTAATTAGCATGCATAATAGGTCAAACCTGCAGAAATTGTTTACTAATTAACAATTAACTATTAACTAATTAACTATTAACTAATTAACTATTCTAAACCAGTAGCTTAACTACAACATTAATTAAAATTTTCTGTAAAAATTCTTGAATTTGTTTACAAAGAAAATTTAATATACTTGTTTGAAGTTTTAGAAAATCTTTTCTAATTTTAACGGGGTGAGTAACAATTACGTATTATCACTAAAGAAGTTAACTCAAACCAATTTCTAGTGGGGTTACTGCCATACTTTGCTGCTCATTTAAAAAAAAATATGAGAAAAGTGTGTCACCCTAGTCAGCTAAATGCTCTATCCCAGGTTGTGTTTGTGAAGTTGTTAGGTCTTGTCCCAGTGACAGGAGACTGAGTCTGGATGGGAAAAGATGGGTAAGTGATGGTCTGGACGAAGAAGATCCTTTGAGTGATGTATCTTGGAAGGAAGGGCTACCACTGAAGAGACATGTCTGTGATCTGAGTGTACTCTTGGACTTCTGGTTCCTAACACAATAGAAAGGCAAGGAGACCAGCATAACTAATATGCCATTTGCAGCCCTACTTTTATGCAAGAACCTTTGTACTACAACGCATGTCCTCATCGTTTCTTCCTTAGATTACTGTGATATGTGCCACAGCTGGCTGCCTTTAAAGACCACTTAGAAGCTTTACTTGGTCTAATATTCAGTAGTTCAGGTACCTCCTAGTGTTCGCTAATGAAAGCCCATTACTTGTGTGCCATGGGCCCTGCATTGACTTTCTATAAGAGACTGGCTACAATTTGAAGTATTGGTTTTACCTATAGAATGCTCTTTATAGCTTAGCATCAGCTTACATTCAGAATTAGCCCAACTGCTTTGAGGAAGCTCAAATTTGTGGGATGGAAGAGCTCAGAGGTACTGCTTTTCTGAAGAAGTCCAGTCCTCTGAAATAGCCTCCCATTAAAGTTTCAACCTTGACAGAGGCTGTTTTGGCATTTGAGGAATGACACCTGGTTTGGTATTTTTTTTTAGATCGTTAGGATTTTATTACTTTTATTTTGCTTCCAATGGTTTTCATATTCCATAAAGCTGATGAGAGCTCTGTGAGATTGCAGTAAAGAATAAATGTAATAAATAAAATAAATGTAACTTTTTAAAAATAAAAAACATCCAGAAAGAAGGAAAAGATACAGTTATTGCTATAAGGACATATTCCTGCAGACACCAGCATCTTTTTAATAGATGTTTTATTAACTGTAGTAGCTAATATGTAAATTTCACATTTGAAAAAAGGCCACAAGGGGGCACATTCTCTCTTTAGTTTTTGACATTTTTGTAGACCCTACTAGATAACTTTAACATTATTATAGGAAAAGAGTATTATATATGTTTGTATACAAATGAGGCATTTTTCAATTTATTCTTTATATTACTGTTTTTTTAAAAAAATTATGATATATGAAATTTATGTATTAAAATAATTAAAATAAATAAATAAATAAATTTATTTCTATACCGCCCTTCTCCCGAAGGACTCAGGGAGGTGTATTAATTGCAAGAATAATAATGTAACTTATTTTAGTTATTCTGGATGGAAACTTTATATTCAGATGTCTTGCTTTATCACAGGTTTATTTCATAAGTACAAGATTAATTAGTGTAAGTGTTAAACATTTTTTAAAACTCTCTCTTTAGATAGAGGTTAGGATTTGAAAGCAGGATCAGAAATCCTTATCAGCAAATCAGCCAGCAAATCAGCCATTTCTAGATCTGTTTTATGATCAGCTATGATCTACAATTGCTGTACAATTTGAGAATAAGGAACTAAAGTATCACTATTTTGATAAGTTCAGATCAAATTGTTCTGAGATAGGCTTTCCCTCAAAATCTGGCCCCTTACTTTTAATATCCTAAGGATCTGTACAGGCTTCCTTTTTTTGTAAAGCAATTGTGGCTTGAGATCCTTATGTTGCATTGCTATCTTTATTTTGATTTTAATATTTTTTCTAATTTTAACATGTTTTATTATTTAGATTTAATTTAAATTATGATAATTTTATGGGTATTGATTCAAGATAAAAACTTGCTATCTGCCAGGAATTGTGAGAATTTTGATGATGATGATAAGTCAATTGATTATCAGTCAATGAACAATTGGCTGCAACTTTTGTTATGTAGACTAGAAATGATAAATATAGGTTTGTGTTTGTATTATATGTGAAATGGGATATAGTCTTATAATCTGTAACAGAAATTGTAAACAAAGCAACTTTTCAATTTGGAATGTATAAAATGGAACTTTGAGGAACTTTTAACCTCGGAGTCTTCTTTCGTTGGGGGTGTTACTTGGAACCCTGACACCTACTTCTCTTCTCTTAAAAGTCTACAGCAGGGGGGTCAAACTCGCAGCCCGCAGGACAGATGCGTCACACGCTGGACACTCCCACGCCCGGTTTAGCGAAAGGGAAAAAAGTCGTGATACATCACATGACAACGCCGTGACGATGCGAGTTTGACAGCCCTGATCTAGAGTATAAACTAAAATGTCACCGTCAGCATCCAACAAGCAACATGCAGAGACAAAAGTTTGTACCTCTGGGATGTCAATTAATCTTCTTAACTTCTGATCCCTATGGTTCCAGTCTAAGATAAAATATTTCAAGGAAGTCAGCTTAAGGCCTTCTGAGGAGAAAAGAAAAGATGGCAATGAAGACAGAACATTTGCATGTCAAAATGAATCTTAGAGTTGTTTTGTTGCTATTTTGACACAAAAGGAAGAAAAGCCAGGTCTTTTAGCCTTACGAAAGGCTAAAAGGGTGGAAGCCTGCCGAATTTGAGGGGGCGGAATGTTCCATAGTCCAGCGGCTGCGACAGAAAAACCATGCTTCCTGGTTCCAATCAGAAGACAATATTTGGGGGAAGGGAAGGGTCCTTAGGGAAAGGCGGTCCCACAGGTAGCCTGGCCATATGCTATATAGGGCTTTAAAAGTGATGACCAGGATCTTGAATAGTATCTGGAAAGAAACTGGCACCCAGTGTAGCTTGCGCAACAGAACCGTTAAATGAATAAACCTAGGGGCCCCATTACTGTATGTGCTGCTGTATTCTGGACCAGTTGAAGTTTCTGAATGGTATTCTAGATGGGCATGAAGTGATACAATTGCACACACAAAAGGGACAGGGTTTGTGTCATGACACTGCTTTAATGAATTCACTTAACACCTTCTGTGCAGCAGTTCCTATACCCGTTCAGTAATTCTTAACTTTTTAAAATTATTCCTATGATTGGAATAGTTGAGAAATAATTATGTTTCATTTTCACATAACTTCAAGTTATACTGTAACTTTCTACCTTGTTGTATTAGTGCTTTTATCCTTCCAGGTGTCCCAACTCCCACATGAACAACATCTTTTTCCAGTATTTGCATTTGTTCTTGTATCTATTTCAAGAAAGCAGAAAGGGGAAAAGGTAGGAGACAAGAAACTTAATTATAACCATTTCTTCTTTTTTCTAAAAGGTTCAAAAGCATACTACATGACAACTCTATATGGAAATTCAACATTGTTACATGGAAAAACAACACAGCAAAGCTCAAAATCTATAATTGAGCCAGATCTACTTTATGGCAGAGCCCAATGGTTTGTCAACTTGTTTTCATGTAATTGCTGATTTTTCATGTCTGAACACAACTGTTTCTCAGTTGTTCTCCTGCTCCAAAAGTCTTACACAATGCAGAATTATGTACACACGTTGCCTTTTTTCAAATGTATGCTTCCTTGGCAAATGAAATATTATGTATTTCTTTAGAGCTTAGATGTTCTATGCCAGTCATCAAGCTATTATGGTAATTCACACACTCCTTAAAAGGAGAAATGGGAGGGAGGGAGGGAGGGAGGGAGGGAGGGAGGGAGGAAGGAAGGAAGGAAGGAAGGAAGGAAGGAAGGAAGGAAGGAAGGAAGGAAGGAAGGAAGGAAGGAAGGCTATATACATATACTTGCACAAAATATACTGTATTTATGTTTAGATAAAATTATAGTACTTCCCTTTGACTGTATTTACCTTTAAATGTTTTGCAAATAATTTCATAACCTTCCCATCTCCTTTGAATGTTGCCATTGATCTAAGAAAGAACATACTGTTAATAAAAGAAAACTGAAAACATGAAAATGACAGAATTTTTGCACTAAAATTAGAACACCAAAAGTATCCAAAAAAAAAAAAAAATGAAAACAGAAAAATATATATAATTCCATTCTGTAACTTGAAAGCCATACTTATGGAGTTTTTTTTTTCCTCAGCTAGGAGGAAAGAGGAATATTTTTGTTCTGGATGCAAGAAGGTTCAGGTTCCAATCCTGAAGACTCATGCAAGTGGAAGCTAAGTCAAGACATCTTGCAGCTGCTTCTTTGAAGTTTTTCACACAGCCTACTGATAGCTAATGTCACCTGACTTGATTAGGATGCAATGGACTAGGATGCATTTATTATTTCATCCCCTGAATTAATACTTTGCATATATGAATCACTTTTTATTTTTTAAAAATGCATAAAAATGCAAAATATAGGCTGGGACTACACCCAAGTATGTTTCCCAAGTATTGTGAGACCAGGATTTAGAGAATGACCCAATCCTATTACCAATAGTGATTGAGAAAACTTGATACCCTAGTTGTCCCTTTAATTTGGTGGTTTTGAGGAAAACCTTAGAAGGATTCTCTCCTAGTGGCAAACAAGATACCTGATGAGTTCCAGACACCGGAGAGCAGAGCTGCAAATTACCAGCATCACCACTGATGACTTCTCTGTGTGGTTTTTACGGAGCTTTGCCCATTTAGGACAGACTGAAATGTAAAAAACAAAGATTCAATAAATGCAGTAATGCGACATTATATTAGAAAATAGTGAGGTAGCCTGCTAATGGAGCACTGCCTGTGCCTACACAAATTAACTAATGTCCTAAATAAATGGATCACATAACAGCTTCTTTATTTTAAAAGTAGATATACAGAGTGTACCAAAAGCCAGAAAGCATAGGCCAATCACAATGTTTTATTAACTTTATTAATGTTACTGTACTTAGGAATGTTCGAAGATCATGTATCAACCAAGTAAGGAAGTATTTAGAAAAAATCGGCCACAAATTTGAACATTTAATGTTATTTATATAATAAGTTTATAGGATCTGCCTGACTTTTGATATATTCTGTAATGAGAAATGAAAGTGCATCCTAAATAATAGCTTACCATACTCTTCTTGAATACATAAAAGAAAAAAAAAAAAAGAAAAATACTAATGAATTAAACAAGAAAACAACTAGCAAAGTTAAGTATACATATTAATAGATAAGTTAAATGAAGATAAATAGAAGATAATATTCTATAATATTATTATAGAATATTTTATACTATGCAATCCCAACTCTTCGAATTCCAGTGCTTTACATTAAAAAGTAGACAATGTGTAGTCATGCAAGAAAAAAAAAGACTCAAATATTGTTATGGTGGAACTTAACATGAAGCCCACAGAGCAAAGCTATGCCATTGTCACAAAATTCTAGAAAATACAAACTCTTGCTCAATCCTGCTAATACCTTGGCTATAATCAGATTGGTCATTGCACAAACTATTGTCAAATAATGCGAACTTTCTTAAGAGCAAGTTCACCAGGCTATTTGACATTAATATAACTATCTAAATTCTGTAAGCAGTTTACATTTTTTGTCACTGGGATGTGCCAAATGAAGATAAAACACTCTCGATACAAATTAAGTCAAAGATACAATGTATAATAGTGTCAAACTGAAGATCTCTACAAATGTATTTGGATAAATCTGCTATTTAAGTATGCAATAACTATTGTTAGGAATCTTTACTCTATTAAAACTGTATCTTAGAGACATGAAATTTAAAAATTGGAAAGAGTCTTAGAAAACATCTAGTCCCAGCCCCTGCAAAGTCTTAAAGAGGCATATATTTCACAGGTAGTTCTCAATTTACAAATGCAATTGAGTCTGGTATTTAGATCATTGAGTGAATCTTAAATAATATGTCATGTAACTACCCATGTGACTGCTTTGCTCAATGACTGCAATCCTGGCACTCCTGGATATAGTCATAAGTGATCATACAGGCCATTAAGTGAATAGAGTAAGGACTGCAAGGTGATTCAGGGAATAGAAGACACAATGCTCAGGAGCTGAAAATCCTCCCTGCCAAAATCCAAGCATTTCATGTGCACATGACCTGCGCTGGGCCTCCTACGGCATCTCTCATCCACCTGGAGAACTGACTACTGTATCACTTTGCTTTCTGCTTAGATTTTGGTATCCTCTTGTCTAATTAAGAATCAGGGACTCACTGATTGAATTCAGCTCCCCTCCATGCCTGATTCCATTCAGGTCCCCCTTTCCCCTAATTCTTTCAGTGGCATGGAGAAACAGAGCTGAAATTGTTGGCATGTGGGCTGTTTCTCCATCCCGCTGAAGGAGTTCAACTCATCTCCATGTGTGGAAGGAAACTTCTGCGGGGTGCAGAAATGGAGCTGAAACCATCAGGATAAAAGTTCCATTTCTGCACCCTGCAGGAAAATGTCATCTCTCCTCTGCAAGCGGAAGGGTGCAGAAATGGTACTCAAATCATTAGGGATTGAACTCTGTTTCTCCACCCTACTGAAGCCATAATAGATAACTATTGTTGCTTAATGCTGTAACTAAGGACTTGGATTACATTTTCAGGCTTCCTCATTGACATTCTGAGGAGCTGACAGAGGAAATTGCAAATGGCAAGCACACAATTGTGGGCACTAGGCATATCTGTGAACAAATTGCCAAGCACCCAGATCGTGATCACATGGCTACGAGGGAGAGCCAGCACAATGGTTTACAACAGCCATAAGTGTTCTATGGGCCATAAAGCACCTTTCCAAGACTGTCATAACTTCAGACTAGCTCTGCTATTTGCTAAAATGATACTCGCAATATAATCAACCTATGCCCCAAGCATTATTTAATTAATAATGTTGCTAAAATAGCATCTCACTCTTTTAATCAGTCTCAAAGATTTACCTCAATGTTATATAAACCAAAAAAGTTTATATTATTATATTATTTCTTCTGCAAAAAAGAATGGGCAAGAATTTGAAGGCATGATGTGCCTGAGAGTTACATAAGGCTCAGGGATCATCCATTTTATCAGAGGAGCTTCTGTCTTGGCCTCATCAGATTAAATGGAGACTGTAATTAAGATGCATTTTTTTCTTTTTCATTATTGCTTTTATCATAATCTTTATTATAAGATCTCAAGAGTAATATTTGTTAGTATAACTGAAAATAAAGCAACTTTATTGAAACTTTATGAAACTTTAAATATGTTTCAAAATTAAACATATTTAAATCCATTTTTCAATTCAGCTTTAACAGAGGCATTATTAAAATTGTTTGCTCTCCCTATTTGGTTTTTGATTATCAGCATTCAATTACATACAATGTATATTATGAATATAGCATGTGAAACTAGAAGCTACATTGTTCAACATGACAGAATAATACTTTATACTATAAAGCAAGCATTTTCTGAAAAAGCGTAATATAAACACGCAATTAACATACGTGTGTATATTATCTCAAATTATTTTAAGCCTTTTAAGAAAAGAATGACATAGAATGACTTCTGACTAAATTACTACTTACTTTCTTTCAGGTAGGAAGAAAAGCTGTGGGTGAGATCATTGGCAGGGAGGAAACAGGAATCTGAAACCATAATAGACAACTATTGTTGCTTAATGCTACAGCTAAAACCTTGGATTAAATTTTCAGGAAGCTGCTTTGTTATAAGCCAGGCAAAATGCTCTTTCAGAAAGCAGAATTTTGCAAGCACCCAAAATTAATAACAAAAAGCTTTAAAGTGGATTAACCAAATGATGGGAACAAATATTGAACCCAATTTAGATTCTTTTCAAAGTTATCTCTCCATTATCCTTAAATATATTTTTTATTGAACTGGATGTATTTGTGATGAGATACTTTGTAGCTTTCTCATTTGAGACCAGAGTTAAGCATTATGACAAAACAGAATGTGCAAACTGTTAAGCCAGTAGCCCAGCCCAGAACAGCAAATCCAAAGTGAGTTTCAAACTGTCATTTGCCCTCAGCAACAATATTGCACAGGTATGCTATGTTGCTTCCCTTAATGGGATTTCTTTAGTGATTAAAAACAGTCTAAATACAAAAACCCACACATACATAGGATAAATATAAATAAAAGATGTAAACTTCCTTCTTACAAATATCCATGAACATGGCAGGGCAATTCTATAATAAAAACTTTACATAGAAGCATTCTTAAATATCTCCAATAGCTCGTTATGAAATTTTGAGAATTATTTAGTGATTCCAAAACTTTTTCTCATTTTCAATCACACAGCTCTGTGATTTATAAAGTATTTTGTTAACTAAATAAAATAAGTATTCACATAGTGCTCTACATTCTATATTCCAAGACAATTTATTTAAAAGCAGAATAAAAGTATAAATCCATGACATATATAGCAAGTCAGCATGGACAACAATAATGAATTATTCAAATATAAGAAGATCACAATCTTCTACCAGAACTCTCTTGAAATTCATATCTTTTCTTCATGTAGAAATTCCAGTGAATCTTTCTTTCATTGTAATTACTGTAAATAATACCTTATTCAAAGATTTGTCACGCTATAGGGTACTAAAAAAAAGCTAATAGAAATCAGGTATTGATACTGTATAGCAATGTAATAAGGCAATTGATTACAGGACACTGATTAAGACATTGTGTTATGGTGCATTAAGGTGCAAAACGGTGGAGCAAGCTAGCTGGACATCTTCTAGTTAACAAAATAATTATATTCTGCTTTGCTAATTTAAATTTTATTCTATGCCTCAATTAAGTGATTCCAAAACTTTGATCAATTAAATCAATTAGATCAATTAAAAATATCTGAGTGATCAATTAAAAAGCCCTTGTTTATATTTATATAGAGTTTTATTCATTTGAAATCCTGGCTGCCAGGCATAAGATAGTGAAAGTTTGTGGTATGAGTACGAATGCCTGTCTCCCTAAGAATCCTATATATGTGACCCGTACAATTTTTATGATTATGCTGATGATAAATGTTCTGTCAAAAGCACATAGCCATCATATCTCCATGTCCATATGGACTAATTAGTTCACACAAACATCACATCTCTAAAAGCAGCATCTGAAAAGTCTAGGAGCTATCAGAAGGTAAGTTTTGTTTATTTGTTTTTGTCAAAAAATACTCAGAAATCATACACAAATAATACTTAATAAGAAAGAAAAGTTGTTACAAACTGTTTTTTTAAATAATATCCTGAGTAGTACCTCACTGATACTCTCCTTATTACCTGGCAGTTTTAATTCTTCCAGTTCAATCACAGAACGCTTAGCTCCAAAATGTTCATTGAGCATTTTTTGTACATCTGCTGGGACACCTGGCTTTGGTACAGTTTCTGTGAGAAGATCAGAAATTTTCTTCTAAAAAGGGAAAGGAAAAAAAGGAAAGCATAATCCATATGGTGTGGAACTAATAAATATATTGCAATTTTTTCATTTGCTTCTAAACTAGACAATGATAGCCATTTATATCCTAATACTTGAAAAATGTTATTGCTTACAACAGGAGTGTCAAACTCGCAGCCCATGGGCCGGATGCGTTATGTGCTACCAATGCTCACCCCAGTTTAGTGAGGGTGTGCGGAAAGTCGCAATACGTCACGTGATAACGTGACACCGCGAGTTAGGTACCCCTGGCTTACAACAACAACAATAGATTCAGTCTTGACAAAATAACATGAATAACAATAAAATGATAATAAAAAACAAAACAAAAACAGTGCATAGCTTCATGAATAGCCTGAAGAATGTGCAGCCTTGCCCATTTTTTTCATCCACGCAAATAAATGTTTTCTGAATTGCTTACCATGTTTCTGTTACCAACCTTCCCAATTCTGCTGTTATGCAGATGTGAGAAAGTGCCTACTGGGAAAAATAATTATTTCCAGCAACCATAGTGGGAACTCCCTAAGAGTGTCAGGTACTTTACAGCTGCAAAGTGCCTAGAGGAGAGCAGCTTTTAAACTTGCAAGATTTTGTAAAGGTAGACTTATAATAAAGTAGCAGTAGCTTGACTGGTCTGTTTCCTATCTGATATATCTGGGAAGGTTGACATCAACTTTGCAGGTTTGAAAATGCAAAGCTCCCATTGTATCCTTTATAGCTTGAGAACTTAGGGATAGTCCCTCTTGAGCCTCTTTCTCCAGCTATTACGTAGCTTTAGACTATACCCATTCTTACCTGATGGCAAGATGCCTCTAGGCAGCATCTCTTCACCCCCTTTCTCAAATACCATGGATGGTATTGTCACTTGTGAGTCATTGAAGATGTTTAGGGACTCTGCTTCACAGATAACAGAACTGAGACTCTGGTTAAAGTTGGATATTCTGGAATAGTTGGGATTGTTGCTTCCCTGCCTAAACTGCTGGATTCTATTGCCAGGCTGAGGTTTTTGGTTCTTGGAGAATATAACCTGCCACCTAGTGCTGTTAAATCTGGAGTGGTTCAGGAATCCATGGTATTCATGGCAACTATGGACTTTTTCAAAATAATGTATACCTGAATGTTTGTGTGTGTGTGTCACAAATTAGAAATGGTTTTTGTCTCGGGTCAGTTATAGGGTGATATGGCTTTGGAGACATTACCATCAGTCTGTTACATGGAAAGATCAGTCTTGGGTTGTCCTCTGGCTCACTGGGATCAATCAACCCTACAGGGAGCCATGGTCTGTTAGGGTGGCCTACCTAGACAACTAATGACCCCTACTGGATTCCATAGGGCATGTGGGTTTTCCCCTGAAGATCTGTCTAGTAGTTCAGTTAAAGCCTTGGTTGCAGCCTGAATAGGCAGAGGCCCTGAGCGCCACTGAAGAAAGACAAAGAGTGAACCTGACCAAACATTAGACTTATTCGGGCCTACATCATAGCGATAAGGGTGACAAAATGTATTTGCAACACCTATTTACCCTAAATGACTATTCTTTGCTTTTTAATATTTACTCCTCTTAAATTGCCAGGAGGAGGAAGATTTGTTGGATATATTCACTCCCTTGAGTTATTTGTAAAAATAATAAAGGCAAATATAAATAAATAATTGCAAGGCATAATATTCCATACAGTATTGCCTCTTCCCATCATGCTTTTGGTCAAATGAAGGTTTGATACATCACTTTTTAACAAGGAGATGAGGTGCACATTAGATTTCCATGCATTGAGTCATGTTATGGTCAGTAGTGCAACCAATTTAAGCGTGCAAATTAGGAAGTCTAATCTAGACACTACATTTTAAACAACACAATGTTGTCTGTATCCTACTACCTGGGAATATATGTAGTGATAAATATATCAGCCATCTTTTTTTTTTTTTAAATTTGATTTATATGCCGCCCTTCTCCAGAGACTCAGGGTGGCTTACAATGCGTTAAGCAATAGCCTTCATACTTTTGTATATTTATACAAAGTCAGCTTATTGCCCCCACAAACTGGGTCCTCATTTTACCTACCTTAGAAAGGATGGAAGGCTGAGTCAACCTTGAGCCTGGTGAGATTCGAACTTACAGTAATTGCAGACAGCTGGTGTTAATCACAATGCTATCAGTCTGCTGAGCCACCAGGCCCTTGAGATGCTTTTTACTAAGAATGGCAAAATATGACTAATAGACTCAGAAAAATAATATATTTATTTTTATATTAGATACACAAATATACATATAGATTACATTCCAAGTTCAGTTCCATTTAGAATAGGATTTTTGGATAGAATATTTTAGATTAGATTACAATTGTATTTTTCCTTGAACTGGAGGGAGAATGAAAAGTAACAGAAGAAATATAAATGATATTGAGACTAGTTAATATATCATGTATTATTTTAAACAATCATTATTATGAAATAAAAAATCTGTATGATTTTTAATATTCATTCGAAATATTAATCAGGAATTACCTTTCTTTTTCTCTTTGGCTTCATTTCAATTTCTTTTTCATCCTTAAATTTCTCTTTCTCAACATTGAGGAAGCATTCTGTAGTCTGGAAGAAAAAAATTGAAGATTATGAGCTGGCGTTTGGAAGAACTTTAAAATACAAAGGCAATGATATAGCATGTACATGGCAGCCAAGACTTTACAGGAAATGAGAATTTTTGAAATCATGTTTGTTTTCTATTAAGATCAACAGAAGAACAGAAACTATTCCATGGCAATATAAAGGAACAAAAGAAAACCAGGCCTTTTAAAAAATTGGACAAAAACAAACTGTATAGTCATAAAATATTTATTATAACATTGACTGAATATATTGTTATCAATCAGTTAAGATGAAGTTTTAAATATTACATTAAAAAAATCTGCAAGGGATATTTTAATGGTATAAAGGTCTTAGTTTTTGTTGATCTTGATCTCTAGCCTAAAAGAGATATTGTTTTAATATGGAGCTTGAATTTTTCCCACTCTCTTGAATATTGTATGACTTAACCGCAATGCAAAGTAGAATAAAGCTGATATTTGTATTATAATGGCATAATTATTTCCCAAATATTAGAGGTCATAATAAGGTAGATCTCTTTTCTGCATTTATCATTTGGGCAAGATGGTGAGATATTCTCTCATGCACTGAAAAAGTCTCGAAAGTGAACTGGGAGTTCACAGGTCTTGTCCTTCCTTCAAATATACCTTGCAAAGATACCTTCCATGTCCATGTATTCAGCAAGAATGAGAAGCGACTATATGCCTGGACATTTTCCACATGGAAACAGAATCAGTACTTAGTTGAACGATGCATAAATATTTAAGATACCCTCCTCAGTGTTTGGCAGGGATGATGGGTTACTTGCTGCACTGGTCTTGTTATATAACTTTCTAACATACCCCTTGAATCTTAAACTTAGATATTCAGGCATTTCAATAGTGTACCTTCCGTTCAGCAAACAATGACTTCATTAAAAGTTTTTAATTGTGCACTAGATTGCCTTCTATTAGTGAAAATAAAATTAACCAACCTTTTTCCTTTTCTTTGAAGAAACAAGAGTTGAACTTGAAGGCTGATGAATTGTTTCACTTGTATTAGCACATTCTTCCTCATTATCTGAAAGAGCTAAAGACAAAAGCATATTTCAAAAACACCTTCAGCATTCTATTGTTCTCCTAACAAACTCTGAGTTCATTGAACTTGGCAACTTGATTAGGTAATTATTAATATGGAAGAAAAACAGACTACTAAGATTCTTAAAAGACAGTAAGGTAAAGGTAAAGGTAAAGGTTCCCCTCGCACATATGTGCTAGTTGTTCCCAACTCTAGGGGGTGGTGCTCATCTCCGTTTCAAAGCCGAAGAGCCAGAGCTGTCCGAAGATGTCTCCATGGTCATGTGGCCGGCATAACTAAATGCCAAAGGCGCATGGAATGGTTACCTTGTCACCAAAGGTGGTCCCTATTTTTTTACTTGTATTTTTACGTGCTTTCGAACTGCTAGGTTGGCAGAAACTGGGACAAGTAACAGGAACTCACCCCGTTACGCAGCACTAGGGATTTGAACCACTGAAATGCCAAACTTTTGATCGACAAGCTCAGCATCTTAGCCACTGAGCCACTGTGTCCCTTGTAAAAGACAGTACTTTTAACAAATTTTATTGAAGTATTCTCTGAGTAAGTAAAAATGGAAATATTTACAAGAGAAGAAAAACTTTTAAAAAAATAAGCCAATAATGCTTGACATAATACTTATAGGTTTCAGAGCTCACTGAATGTTGATCACAAAGGAATGGGAACAGATAGAAGAAAAAACAGAAGTATATGGGAAATGGAGTCCAATCACGTGACCACAAGATGCTACAACCATGTGGGCCAGTTTCTAAGTACCTAAAATGCAGTCACGTGACCTGGAGTTTGGTGCAACAGTAAACAATGGTGTGGTTTGCAGGCTATAAAGCACCCTTTCTAAAGCTGTCAAAACTCCACCCAGTGTTAAACAACTGAAGATAAGTTGAGGACCACCTGTAAAAAGGACTGCAAAATATTTACAAAATATAAGTCAGAAACAAAAAGTAAAGTTGTGTTTATCTTTTTTTTTTAAACCACTCTCTTTTTTTCAATTGCCAAGATAGAGACATTTGTTTTAAATCACATAGAAACAATTCATTGTGGCAGCTGTCTTCTTTGCTGACTTGCTTATATTCTTTACACTACTGCAAATAATAAAATAAATTCTAATTCATTAGATTCTAACATGCTAGAGATTTTCAATAGATTGCAGTATTCTTTCCCAAGCACTGAAAGACATTTGCACTGCTCTATTCATATGCTGAGTCAACTACTAACCAAAATAGCTATTGCATACTGTAACCGAGGAAACCTCTATAGTTTGTAGCTTGCCAAGAAAATCTAACTGCTAACTTTAACATGTCTTCATAGATCCTGACTTGGCAGGTCCAGAAAATGGAAAGGGACACATATCCAAAGCCAAATAATAAATAGCCTCGCCTCCTGTATACACTTGTACATACTTGCTCAAGAACTCTGAAAGGAGATGAATAACTTCTATGACAGAATTTTAAGAACAATGCACCACTTGTCAATTGCTTATCTTCCCACCAGGCAGGAAAGTACATAAAGTAAGCTCCGTACTCTTTCATCCTGGAAATACCACAATTGCTCAGACAAGCAATAAAGGACTCTTAAAGGAAAAGGAAAAGTTTCTCCTGTCCAGTTGTGTCCAACTCTAGAGGCAGTGTTCATTTCTGTTTCTTAGCCGAGGAAGCCAGCATTGTTCGAAGACACTTCCAATGGTCATTGGAAGAATAATATACACCAAAATGCACAGATTGATGATACCTTCCCACTGAAGTGGTACCTATTTTTCTACTCACAATTGCATGCTTTCAAACTGCTAAGCTGGCAGGAACTGCTGCAGGTAATGGGAGCTCACCCCATCAGACTGCGCATAGATCGCGAACCCAAGCTGTCAGCTTTCCAGCTGACAAGCTCAGTGTCTAACCATTGAGCCTTAGTAATATGTAAATATCTTTGGTGAAAATGATCACTACTACAGGACCATTACAATACACTTAGTCTCGTTTTAGAGCAAATCTCTTAATTATGGTAATTAGTAGGAAATCCCAATTTCTTATAGTGATTTAATAAAACTTAGCAGCCTCCAAGATTGGCTCTCAATATAATACTGTATATGAGACACAACAGAGAAATAATACTCAGTGAATATGAGTGAGAATCAGAATATAATACACCATTAATATGATTTCTAATAAATTGTAATTACCTATTACACTAGTTACTAGAATTATTGTTCTGCCTGCTTCACCTTGGATTTCAGGATTGCAGGTAGTTTCATAATTTAGACACTGATCAACATGGAATCTTGTGCTTGCAAAATAAGGCCTTGGAGACATGTATATATAACAAAAGATAACTATATAATGACATCCTATTTCATTTTTTTTTTTTACAGTAAACACAGTGTACACTATCTTTTTCAGGACCCTAAAATAATCTTATATATTGAGTATGCATAGTATTCTATTCTGAGTTGCCCAACAATTGTAGATTATCAATGATTAACCTTATACCCCAACATTTTATACACACACACACATCAGAAACTTTTATTTACAATGCTAATGCTTCAAATTATGTTACTTAAAGGTCCTCTTCATGTACGTCATTTATACCACAAAAAAGTAATCCAATCTTTGATTTACATACACATATATAATTTCAAAACTCATAGATTCATTTCCTTTCTTTCTCATGTTAATTAACAACCTTGTTGCATTCCTGTAAAAATAATATATATTTAAAAAAAAAACAGTACTATTCAAACTTATATTCTAGTGCTATTCTTATTCTTTTGCTATTCTGATACTATAAGCAAGAAAAGATCTCAAAGCCAAAACTATTTTGAGGTATAAAACCAATTCTGATAAAGAGGCAAAAATATTAATAAATTTGAAACAAATTAATAAAGTACTTTTCCAATTTTCTATATTGCTTTAGAGTATTTGATTATGGAATTTTAAAGTCGTATTTGTTATTCAAACTAGCTCCCAAAAGATAAATCAGTACAATACACAACCCTGGTGGTATAGTGGTTAAAGTGCCATTCTCTGTCCACAGCCTGTAGTTTGATCTGATGGGCCTCAAGGTTGACTCAGCCTTCCGTCCTTCAAAGGTTGGTAAAATGATGATCCAGATTGTTGGGGACAGTATAAAAATAATAATGCTTCTACAATGTAAACCACTCAGAGTGCTATGTAAAGTGCTATAGGGTGGTATATAAGCCTAAATGCTATTTCTATTGCCATCTGTAATGTAAGGATTATTCACAAAGATAACTCAAACAATTAGATGAGTAATCTTACTAGCATTTTGTTATTTTTTGTTTAAGATGTTGCGATGTCTTTGCCATTTCTCAATGAAATAGTATATCTTTTTCTTAAAGTTGTCATATCCTACCTACCAAATCTTCTTTCCATTTATTCAACAGCAGATGTTTTTGTCTCCTAAATATAATTTGCTTTGCAAGTTCAGTCAAGTTTCTTCTCCATTTTTAATTGCTACAATTCTCAGTTAATTCCAAATGGCATCTCATCAGCCCAATTAACATGATTGTTGTTAAATGAAGACATTTTGCAGACAGATGCCAACTACTCTAAATTTAATATTTCCAGTTACACTAAAAACTGGGTGGAAAAATAGTCAGAAGCAGCTGAAATTTCAAAGGAGCAGAGACTGATTAAGTCTGTCTACATAGCCTGAATTCCATCTTAAATCTCACACACGCTGTAGACTTTTGGGCTCCCCATGTCAGCAATTTTTTCCCTTTCCAGTCTAGTTCTACTTAATCAGCAGCCTACAGAAAAGTATGGAAGAAGCAGAACGTTTGCTCATTACTTTGTGTCTTTTTTTGTATATTTACAGTTATACTGAACTTTTTACTTATGCTGCATCATTTTCTATTTTAAATAACAAATTTGCTACCATTAATACACATTTTTGTTTTTTTAAAAAAAATATTACTCTGTACTTGATCAGTTAAAAGAAATGTTGAGAAACTGAAAATTTAAACTTACCTACAGTAAATCCACTTTGTAATTTTCTCCAATTTGTGCCTGACATATTAAACTACAGTTCCAGAATTCTCAGTTGATATGATTTGGTGCTGTGCTTCTGCGGACTTATATTTCCAAAATGCATCCTATTCATTATGCCCTATTAAGTCAAATCAAATTGTTCAAATGATCTTTCTAAAAGTTGACATTCTCCTTTCATATCTTTTAAACAATGCAGTCATAGTTCCTCAATAAGTCATTTTTAACAGATAGGGCATATATTGTCAACAGACAGGTGCAGCACAATATCTTATAAACTGTAGTACAAATTTGTTTATTGTTACTAGGTAAAATGGCTGGCATACTCCAGTGGAAAGCTTTTTCTTCTATCCAGGCTTAATAAAGCTACAGAACCAAAAGAGGAGGAAAGGCTAAAGACAATAATCCTTCAAGCATCTCTGTACTGGAAACGACACACAGAGATAAAAATGACACAGGATGCAATTGTAACATGGATAGTGCTCATACCTATATTTACTTGCAGCAAGCAAACGTTTACAGCTTGCATTTTGTTCTATTCCTGCTGCAAAGAATGACAGGAGAAGAGGTCAGCTTTCCAGCAAAGTTGCCTCTCTCAAGTACTTGGAGAGCAAAGCAGGGTTGGTTTATATTTAGAGTTTCATTTAAATTAGTTCCAGGATTTATGTATCTCTTCCTTAAAGTGCTATCTTAGATCCTTGAATTTAACACTACTGCATCTATAGCTCAAAATACAAATGGGGAATGAAGCATTTTGTAACAAACTGCTCTGAGATCATTTGAAATAGGTGTTCTTGGGTGCTCATAAAGGAAAAGAAACATTAAAGTTTACATCTATAAAGACAAAAGACTCCCTTTTGGCTTACCAGGATTTATATACGCAGAAAAGGAAATTACCCAGAAGGCTGTCTTCTTAAAAATGGTAAGCTTTTATATTCCTATACGATACCACAAAAAATTAATCTATAGAACCATTCGAGATTTACATTCAATGTGAACTCTGTTAATGGAAATTATATAATGCTAATTCAGATATAAATTTTAATTAATTAAGAATGTTTAATTTCCATTTCTTTATTAATAAAAATAGACAACCCTAATATTACGCCCAAAACTTGTATGAAGTTTTGAAGGACACAATCTGATTTATTGCCAGGAACAAATTATTAATAGAAACGTTTAGAATACAATTTCTGAGAAAGAAAGAAAATAAAAGAAAGTAAAAAGAAAATATCTATCTAGAGAGACAATATTTACTTGTTTTAATGACAGACAAATGTATGGACACTCTATTCTGGTATGTGCATTTTAACAATCACAGGAAAAAAATCAAACCTTTCATTATGTTGCTATATAATTAACTTAAAATACTATAGTGTTGGGAGTATTTCTCTTGGAAAGTCAATATTAACCCAGACAGGTGTTGTTATTGAACAAATTATCAAACACCTCAGTGTTAATTTCCTTTTTGTATTATTGAACTTAGTTATCATAATTAAATCTTATTTTATTTATATGATTTTATTTTTCTATTGTTCTTAATTTTTCTGTATTGCATTTTTCCTGATATCTTAATATAAGGCAGTTACGAATATTTCAAGAAATATCAAAAAGTATCAACTATGTGACATCTGCTATTTTATCTCAAAATCCTTTTCTCCTCTACAACTCAACTAATGATTTATAAATAATCCTTTTAATTACAATGATACTTATCCTATAACAGCTTATTACAACTCCTAGTCAAGAGCAAGGGAAACTGTAGTTATATGATGGGAAGATTGTAAACAAAATCCAATTTAGGAAGCTAAATCAATTTCATACTAGAGTTTAGGTTTAGTCTGTATATATTTCTCTCCAAAATTTCCTATTTAGGGAGACAGTGACACACTCTGGTTTGCTTTGATGCTTTTCACTATCTTTGATTTCTAGTTTCCTTACCCCAATCCAGGTTTATGAAATGTGAGCAAGGTAAATATGCAGTGCGCACATGAATATTAGGGATTGTTCATTGTTCAATTTGTTAATGGGCCATGAATGAGTTATCTTTTTCAACTCTAGAAATCCAGGATAATATTATTCATTTGGAAAAGTTAAATTTGTGTATTTAAAAGTAGATGTGTTGCTTATTAGACTTCTCAATAGATTCTGCTAGCAGGAAGCTGGAAGAGATTCAATGTCTTATGTCTTGTTGAAGGCATGCCAAAATACAGCACTGATGGTATTGTGACAGTGAATTCATAATTTAATAATGCATTATATAATGACCTACTTCTTTTGAATTGTCCTTAACCATCCCACATTTATTTCATTATTACACCTCAATTTCTATTATTGTGAGAAATAAAATTATTCTTCTATATTTTCTGTGACATAATTTATATGTAGCTACTGTATCTTCCATTATCTGCCTCCTTGCAAAATCCAGCCATTGAAGGCAAAGCAGACACGTTCAACAGAGGGTTTGCTAAATGGTAGAAGTTATTTCTAAGGGAAATGCATATTTCTGAATTATTCAGGTCAGTGATTATCAGGCAACTGTGATTCTTACAGCAACAATAATAATTAAGACAGGGCAATACAGGTTAAAATCCATCTGCACCATGAAAAATCGCTGGGTGATTTTCATTCTCTCACTCCAGCCTACAGTAGGTATGACACCTTGACATAGAAAAATGAGTGTCTGAGTGTTTGATGGAGATTGGGTAGAAATGATGGAGCATCCTGGAAGAAGTAATGCAGGTAGTCTTTGTTTAGTAAACACAATCTGGATTGGCAATTCCATTGTTTAGTGAAGTACTTGCTAGGTGAAAAGGTGACTTATGCTTATATCTTATTTCACTTTTCCTTTGTTTTATAGACCTTAGGAAAAGTTACTTTTCCATCGCTGTTCTAACTACAATTGGTTGCTAAATGAGGTAGTCGCTAGAGGACTTCCTGTAGCTGGTTTGGGCTAGAATCATTTTAAAAAGAGTAATCAACACTATTTTAAATATATTTTCTTCGTTTTGCTGTAATGTCAGACCTAATAATACTTTAAAGCATATTAGCCCAAGGTCGAACTATTACCTTACCTTAGCAATAACAGACAAAGGGACAGAAAGAAGGAACAGTGGATAAATAAAGGTAGAAGTCTGGATTTCTAGCTCAAGTTTTCTATCCTTTCTTGATTTTCTTTGTGCAATTATATCATTAGGCAAAATTGATGAATAAATCTATAAAGAATGTGAATTTTGGAGATTCCATTCATATATGACTTAGTGAAATTATTGTTTTCAAGCACTTATGTCCAAATAGTTTGAAATACTATGGTATTTGTATATAACAACTATTGTTGTTTTGCAATAATTTAAAACTGTGCCTGGTGAAACATTTTGAAACCTCTTGCAAATTTCAAAAATAGCCCAAATATTTATATGTTATTTTATTACTCCTATTAAGTCAGCTTGCAATACTCAAATCTGCTATAAAGTTGCATTGTGATATGAAGTACTCTATACAAAATCATTTGCCAATTTTTTTAAAAAACTTCTGGTTCACATTTTATCAAAGGAGCACTTAAATTCTCCACTCAGAAATGTTCCTTCCGAACCTCAAAATACTTAAGGAATTACTTAGGGAACTATAAACATGAAATATGTATGATGTCAGAACAAGGCATGCACATTTAAGGGCCATCACTGATGTTTGCCCATAGTTATGCATTGTCAGAGCTAAAATATTGATGTCAACTAACTTGTAATAAGCACATAGCACCATGCCCTCACTCTGTTATTCCTTAGTATCATCCATAGATAACTTATTCTGCTGTGACATGCATATATAATTCCACTGCAATGTTATGTTTATTTAACTTTATTTTGCCACTGAAGGTAAAGAAGTCTGAACACATCATTTAAACTTATTTACAAAAAATTGTTTCAGTCCTGTTCATGTCAGTTCTCCACAACACCTATCTGCTAGTTTAATCTTCAACCAGAAGATTAAGAGTTTTGAATTGCACTTAAGGGCCTATAATACATAATGATGAACAAATGGTTTTACCATTATAGTTTTGGTGGAAATTCACAAAAGTAGAAAGTGAAAAGCAACAAAACATGGACTAAAAACTATAATTACCAAGGAAAGTAACCCTGCAATATGCTAGCTTTAGGTATCAGTCATGTCTTCGGCGCTTAATGGCAGAACCAGTTCTGTCCATACTGTATGGGAAATGAATACATGAATAAATAAAAATACTTTACAGTTACTATTCAGTTGAAATAAAGCAAAACGATTTTCAGGTTCTAGCACTTAGCAATAGCACTTAAGACTTATATACTGCTTTATAGTGCTTTACAGACCTCTCTAAGCGGTTTACAGATTCAACATATTGCCCTCAACAACCTGGGTCCCATTTTATCAACCTCAAAACGATGGAAGGTTGAGTCAACTCTGAGCCTGGTGAGATTTGAACTGCAAAATTGCAGGCAGCCGGCAGGCAGCAGAAATAGCCTGCAGTACTGCACTCTAACCACTGCACCACTCTAACCACTTAAGAATGAAATTACTCTTCTATAAAACAGAACCTTTTAAGGAACAACCTTTTAAGGAACACTAATTTTAACTGCTGTTTTTTATTTATAAAAAGATGTAAATTGAGAAAAATTACTTCTTGCAAACTTTCTTTAATTTTGTCGTCCAGTCTGATAGTACTAACAATGATGTTACAACTGGATTTGCACTAAATACGTCTGTAAGAAATAAGTGTTCGTGGTCCCAAGGCTAAAGAGAATACAATGTACAAAGCTAAAATTACAAAGAATTGAATTATTACAGGAGAGCATGGTGTTCATCTTCCCCACTCTGAGACTGTTTCTGCAGAGGTTTACAAACTCCAACCATTCATTTATTTTTTTCCCAAACTGACCTTCCAGCCAAGACCTTAGTTCAAATTTCAGAGTAGCTGAGTTGATGCATTTAACACCTGCTATTTGGTTTAAGTCTTCCCAGGACTTTAATGAAGCTTCTGCTGTTAGTAATGATTATTATACCTACCTAAGTAACTAACAACAGAGTATTTCCCATCTGGAAAAGCTGAAAGCAGTAGTAGAAGGAAGCAACTTCCTAAATGGCCTTTGACTCAAAATATATATATTTCTCAAATTCTCTAGCATATTTTATATAGCATTAACAAAAAAAAGTGAGCACAATATTTTAACAAAGTGACAAAGGTCTTATTATAAAAATTGAATCTCATTTTTGAGGGGATAAATTCTTAAAAAATTGTGAAGATGTTACCAGTTCCTTCACAGACCTGAATTAACTTAGTGTACAGTATGACAATTTAGTCTGTATCAATTAAAAAAGTTCTTTTCTTGGCATTACAAGTTTCTTTTTGTGGCTTCTTTCTTTTTATAGTAGATACGGTGTGGAAATGTTATTTTAAAACATACGAAATCTACTGCCATTTGAACTTAATGGGGAAAGTATCATATACTTTCTTCAAGACAGATAAAATATATAAACCATTTCAAATAGAGGAACAACCTAGAATCATATCCCTTAATATGGAAAAGGTTGTGTCTGCTAGTGGGAGTTTTCTAGTAGCTCCAAGGCATAATACAAGATTGAAGTAATGTGTATATATTTCTAATTCTCAAACAGCCAACCTGGAAAAAGAAAAGTAATGTAGGCAACCCCTCTTGAGAATTTATAAACAGCTTACGCCTACTTTGTGTTTTGGTAAGATTTGTCTTACAAAGACGAGGAGTGTACAATTTCTAACATTAAAGACATTACTTGTAATTGAACACCGGTAGACTTTTGTTATAGCATAAAAGATCAAGGAGAAAGTTATCGCAGAAAGGGACTAGGACCATTTCTCAGGTTAACAAGAGATTGTTCTTAATATAAAAAGGAACTTCATTGAGATTGAGGGAG